CAGGCACGTCCAGCTGGGAAGAGACCAAGGGGTAGACCTGAACCAGATGGAGGGATTATATCTCTTCGCTGGCCTGGGAGCGCCTTGGGATCCCCCAGTCAGAGCTGGTTGATGTGGCCAGGAAAAGAAAGTTTGGGGCTCTCTGCTGGAACTGCTACCTCCGCGACCCGACCACGGATAAGCGGGAAAGATGGAGGATGGATATTCCAACACCCATCTTCACTGTTTTTTTTTACTGCCCAAACACAATTGTGGACGCTCCAATCCACCAGTACAGCTTGTAACTTTGCCACTTTAAAAACCTTTACAAATCTTTCACCTCCATTGTGTTCCACATCCAATGATAAGACACAACATTCTGGAAGCCTTTCATTTCTATTCACCTGCTACAGCTTCCTCAGAGTGCAGTCATACACTTATCTAGAAGAAAAATGATCATGCATGATGTAAACAAATTCTTATTATTTTAAGCTGCCATTTACAGTTTTTGTCACTGAATAATAGGGATGGGTATCAAACACCAGTACTAAATTGGTGCAAGTACCTGATTGTTCAGAGTATATTTACCGTAATTTTCGGACTATAAGCCGCGCCTTTTTCCCTATTTTTCGACGCTGCGGCTTATATAACGGTGCGGCTAATCTATGGATTTTTACAGCTAACGGCCAACACCTTTAACTCTATGGGCTCTATGGCCGGTCCGCGGACCCCCACTTTTAAGCGGCGGGTTCCAGCAGGAAATGCTGGAGGCCGGAAAAGAGTGAGACAGGTAGCGCGCAAAAGTAAAAGTGGAACCGAGAGTGGTATGCCGCTGCTGCGGCTTATATTCAGGTGCGCCTTATAGTCCGAAAATTACGGTACAAACCGGTATATTCACAGTGGTTGAATCGGACTGGATGGAAATGAAAGCAGGGCTCTGTCAAAGTACAAGCAAACATTTGTTTCACTTATTTTATTTCCCAATGAATAATATTGAAAAATATCCTCAACATTGATCAAAATAACCGTTATCATTTTGGCCATAAGGTCATGGAGGCGTGTGGGGCAGTGCACTAGTGCGTTGGGGTTCGGATCAGGGGGAGCACAGGATCAAACCCCACTGCAGTCAGCATGTCGTTGTGTCCCTGGGCAAGACACTTCACCCCAAATTGCTCCTGTGGTGATTGTCCACAGTATTGAGTATGTATGTCGCTTTGGATAAAAGCGTCTAACAAGTGACATGTAATCTAATGTAATTGTGTTTGATGTGACAATTGAATTTGACATTCAGTTACAACATATAGTGGCTTTTTGAGATGCAATTTCACAGGGCAAGGAAATGGGCATTGCTACATCATCATTGTCTTTATAGTTCCATTTCATTTCAGATAGATCTCTGTGTGTGTGTGTGTGTGTGTGTGTGTGTGTGTGTGTGTGTGTGTGTGTGTGTGTGTGTGTGTGTGTGTGTGTGTGTGTGTGTGTGTGTGTGTGTGTGTGTGTGTGTGTGTGTGTTCCTTGCAGAGCTCAGCCAACAGATGCATAACATAATTCCCTTACGCTCAATAAAATAAGCAATAGTTTGTATCTACAATTTGTCTCCTTGTGTGAGTCAATACGAATGGGATAAAACCATGGCCGGCAGAATGAATATCTTTTATAGAGACTTTCCACAGCCTTTTAATATGTGCTTGTGTTACGCTGTAATCTGAGACCAATCAGATTATGTGTCAGATGTCAGTTCGTTGCCAGCACATTCTTCAACATGTTCTTGTAGATTTTTCACTGAAACTTTCCCTAGAAATAAAATGTTTCTATCTCTGATTGCTATATTAGCGGGAAAGACCACCCCTATGTAATAGCCATGTTATCTTTGCCCTGTGTAAGGCTGTAAAACTAAAAGCCCTACAGAGAATCATGGAAATTAGATTTACAGTTAGGTCGATCCTCATCTGGACGAGGGCCAGAGTTTGAGGTGAGAGAGAGAGAGAGAGAGAGAGAGAGAGAGAGAGAGAGAGAGAGAGAGAGAGAGAGAGAGAGAGAGAGAGAGAGAGAGAGAGAGAGAGAGAGTAGAGAGAGTAGTAGTAGTAGTAGTAGTAGTAGAAAGAAAGTAAGTAGTAACGTAACGTAACGTAACGAACGTAAGTAACGTAACGTACGTACGTACGTACGTACGTACGTAACGTACGTACGTACGTACGTACGTACGTACGTACGTACGTACGTACGTAACGTACGGACGGT